GGTCGGCCCGGCCTCTCCCCGGGCTGCGGGAGCCACAGGAGAAGCCCCCATGGCTTCCCTGCCTGACCCCATCCCCTACCTGGACCCAGCCTAGTCCAGGCACTTAAGAAAAAAAAAAAAAAAAAAAAAAAAGCCCTGCACTCACTGCCTGCAGGAGCAGTGATTGGGGCCTCTGGGCACCCCCAACACAGCACAGGGCAGTGCGGGGCAACAGGGATCACACACCCCCACACCTGGCACCCGCACGTCACCTGCCTCATGGCATGGGTGCAGCACGGCTTGGCAGGGTACTGTGTGCTGTCTGGGAGCTAGTGTTGCTGGGGCTGAGCACTGCCAGACTCCAGCTGATACATGGAGCCACCCCAGCTCTCAGGCAAATCAAACTGGGAGCTGGGGAATTGAACTGGGAGCTGGGGAATCATACCGGGAGCTGGGGGAATGTTCAGACCTGAACATTACCCCCAGCTCCCAGTCACTGACTGGTGTCGGGGGGGGCATGTGCCCCCCTGACTCAAGAGGCACCAGTCACCCATGCCAGGACTCCCTCAAGTCATCGTTGAAACATTTCAAGATTGACCTGAAGTCTTGGGAAGATCTTGCTCATGATAGTTTCACCTGGCAAAGCCTCATCCATACTGGAGCTACCATCTATGAGTGGAGAAGAACTCCTGAGGCAGAGCAGAAGCACAAACAGCATAAATCTTGCAACAGCAGTACGGCCACTGTTGACAAGCAACCAAAGTGGTATCTCTTGCTTAGTGTGCCATAGACAGCTCAAACCACAAATTGGCCTGGTCAGCCAACATTCATGTGTTCACAGAAACCAAACCAACCAGCAATGTCATGGTTATCCTCGAATTAGAAGGAAAACCACAACAAAAACTGTGGATGTCCTTTTCCATATAAAACATCTAGTCAGTCCTTTGCTGAGCCCTGTCATACTCTTGCCCTCAAGGATGCCTTGCAGCAGCAAGGGCCATAGGTTAGTTGTGCATTACTTGAGGAAGGATTTCCTTGTATCCATTTCAGTTAGTTTCTTCTTGATAACAGTGACTACCCTTTTCCCAGTCTGCTAAGAGGTGGTAGATGGGGATATCCAAGTCCATCACTCTTCTTTATACCTCTGTTACATCTCCTTGCTGGGCTTCAGGGTCTGAGGCTCTCCACATAGAAGACTCTCCAGGACTCCCATCTCTGAATGCCCCTCAGTCAGTGGAGAGAGGGGCCAGAACTGCACAGAGTATTCTTGAGAGGAGGAATAGGAGGTGTAGAAAACCTTCAGCTTGTTCCTTGTGCTAGAGTTTTGTCTGTCCTTTGGACTACCATTGCCTGGGGTGTAGGGTCTCCATCGAATGTGACATAATGACAACCAGTCTTTTTTCAGGTGGTCAGCAGGTGATTTCACCTTGCTTCTCAAGACTCTTCAGGGTCTGTGCTCAGCTCATGTGCAGAACTCTGGCATTGGCTTTTGGAAAAGCCAAACAAAGCCATCTCAGTTCTCCTTCCCTTCAGTGGCATCCAACAGACTGGAGAGAC